TTTCGTCGTCGTTAACATTTAGTTGGAACCATTGAATTTTGATATTTCTAAGATGGTAATTTTCCAACTTCTACAATATTTAGTAGAAACCATTGTATTTTGATAATGATTTCTACAATGAATTGAACAATTAACACATTGTGATTGGAATGGTGTTGGATATAATGCATGTATTTTAAGATACTCCCGATTGGCCCGATGGAAGCAATTCATATTGTCTTTAATGCCTTGATTCCTGTATGGATCACCGCAGAATTGTCACATGACAACTCGATGTGTATTTAATACATGTTAACACTCGGGCACAAAGTAGAACTGTGCGAGTTACAGACATTATATAAATAGTTTAATTGTGACCACTCCTTTAAAACCTAATCTGAGCTTTTTACTCGATTTCTAATACCTTCCGATAGGCGAGGCTTTTTTCCATCATAATGTCAATGTTTTCTTCCTTCATAACTGAACCACCCCCACTGACTTCAGAAACACTGACTGCAATGTTTTCAATAGAATGGACGATTGATGTTTCTTATCGCACTCAGTTCAAAACCGTCTGATCAAAAGGTCGAGTGAACATCAGCGTGTTATTTAGTGATTTTAATGACGTCAGGAATTCCTTAGTTGTTGATAGTCAGAGGAAATCATTCGTCACTATAACGCGGACTGAGAACCGCGATTTTTAATTCACGTGTTATATCAGTAGGATCATATTCGTTACAGTGTCAATAAGCAAGACATTTGCTCTTAGTCTGGTCATTATAGCTGGTCTCCGTAAACAAACATCAAATTATCAGTACACACAAAACTACACGATAAAACCTGAAATGTCTATACAGTCCGAAAACCTCATGGCTTCATCTGGACAAACACAACCCATTGTACAACTGACTACAAATCTACCTCGTAACGGTACCAATCTCACCAACACAACCGAGCAGTAAGGGGCTGCGACAATGTCCCCAGTACCTCTGACCAACTCACAGACAACAGGAAGCAGTAAGAGGCTGCGACATTGACCCCCAGTACCTCTGACCAACTCACAGACACCAGAAAGCAGTAAGAGGCTGCGACATTGACCCACAGTACCTCTGACCAACTCACAGACAACAGAAAGCAGTAAGGGGCTGCGCCATTGACCCCCAGTACCTCTGACCAACTCACAGACAACAGAAAGCAGTAAGGGGCTGCGCCATTGACCCACAGTACCTCTGACCAACTCACAGACAACAGAAAGCAGTAAGGGACTGCGCCATTGACCCACAGTACCTCTGACCAACACAGACACCAGAAAGCAGTAAGGGGCTGCGCCATTGACCCTCAGTACCTCTGACCAACTCACAGATAACAGAAAGCAGTAAGGGGCTGCGACATTGACCCTTGTACCTCTGACCAACTCACAGATAACAGAAAGCAGTAAGGGGCTGCGACATTGACCCTTGTACCTCTGACCAACTCACAGACAACAGAAAGCAATAAGGAGCTGCAACATTGACCCCAGTACCTCTGACCAACACACAGACACCAGAAAGCAGTTAGGAGCTGCGATATTGACCCCTAGTACTTCTGACCAACACACAGACACCAGGAAGCAGTAAGGGGCTGCAACATTGACCCCCAGTACTTCTGACCAACTCACAGACACCAGAAAGCAGTAAGGAGCTGCAACATTGACCCCCAGTGCCTCTGACCAACACACAGACACCAGAAAGCAGTAAGGGGCAGCGATATTAACCCCATGTACATCTGGCCATCACAAGCACCAGAAAGCAGTAAGGGGCTTCGTCACTGACCTCCAGTACCTCTGACCAACTCACAGACAACAGAAAGCAGTAAGGAGCTGCGCCATTGACCCACAGTACCTCAGACCAACACACAGACACCAGGAATCAGTAAGGGGCAGCGATATTAACCCCCTGTACCTCTGCCCAACACACTGACAGCAGAAAACAGTCGGCCGATTCTGTTACATCTCGCACACTACGTACTTCAGTTTTACTTCGTTCCACAAGGGTAATTTATCTGATGAAGGTGAACGTGTAGTCACCGAAACGTCACACTCGAAGCTTTTACTGGTTGTGTTGTAAGAACTTATATTCTATCTAATACAATTATTATTTACAGTCAATATTAGAGACAAATCAGACAAAGAGAATTAAATGTGAGGTAATTGTAGTGACAATGTTTACTTAAATATGTTACATGTAATTCCATATTTGAATTGAAATGCGTTTTTATCTTGTGTCTCTTTCCAATGCTTTATTCTCACTAATGTATCTATAATCTGAATGAGAAGGACTTAAAATCAAATTCACTGACGCTTTGTTATGCTGAAATGATTAACGATGTCTCATTCTCACTTAAAACGATTTTAAAATATCTGTAACATTCAACTGATCTACAATAAGTAATTTCTTACCATCAAGTGTTCTTTGAATACATTTCAATCGAAATCTCACTTTTCATTCGACATTTACTGTTGCGAATGTGGCATATCATCTTGATGCAAAAATTAACATTTGGAAGAGAGATGAATAAAGAATATAAAGAAACGGAAAGGAAGAATAAACAAGGTGATGTTCTCATTTTTCCAATGACGGCGACAATGACAATAATACAAAATCTACACTGGTAGCGATTGAGGAGACATTCAATACTATATATATTCCTGGAAATGTTGTTGGTGTGACTCGACTACAGAAACAAAATCGGGGTTAAAAAGCAATTAGTCATGAATATTGACAAATCAGCAAAATGTTTTGTACTTTTTAAAATATACCTTTCTTGGCTGCTTTGGTTTGTTTTAACCACGTGACTGGTAACTAAATTTAAATGTTCACGGAAACAATATTTTCGTACTGGCCTTAAAAAAAAATGCTCCACAAGCGGCCATCTTTGATTTAGATTTTGAAAGTTTTTTACACTGTATCTTGAGAGCTACTCTATAGATCTTTCTCAAATTTCTCGTATAGGTTCCCCGAGGTCCCTTGTTGTGCCTGTTTGAGTTTTGGACTGATCAGAAAAACAAAATGGCCGACAGACAGCCATCTTTGATTTTGCCTAGTAAAGATTGCTATTGATATTTCTTAAGAAGTACTGAATGAATGTCTCTCAAATTTCATACGTATGTTCCCTTTGGTCCCTTTCTTTGCTCGTTTGTTTTTGGGACTGATTAGAATAAACAAAATAGCTTCCAGAATTTGGCAGGTAAGGATTATTATCGCTATTTCTGCAAATGAATGTTCAAGTGTCTTATTAAGAGCAAAAACAGAAAAGAGAAGAGAAAAGAAGTTAAAATATCCCAATTTCAAAGAGCATATAAAGATCAAACAATTCCTTGTGGGATCTCTTGTTTGATTGTTCTTTTCTAAATTAGATAAAACGAACAGTTAAGTGCTGATTTGTATTCAGGTGACACGTCAAAACATTTCTGACACGTACTCTGAAATCTCGCACAAGGTAATTTATCGTAAGCTATGAAGAACAGATGTTTACATGCCATTGTGTTTTATAACTCGCTTTATCGTTATAGAATGAATCATTTATCATCAACATTTTGTCCAATACACATGATGTAACACACAGCCTCAATAAAACAGGGTTGTTAGTTTATGTGATAAAGGTGGATGACAAGGCTGGTTGACTATCCATAGCTCATGATTATCATACCGTACCTTTCTATCTGACTAACTCCGGCTCCAATAGAAATCTAATCCTTTAGTTTTCTCAACAAGTAGACAGCATTGTAGTTGCACCATGTTATTTACACGAGCTATTTTCAGAAGAAAATTATATGTTGTTTATTGTACTGAGTCCTTTCGTTCATTTACATACGCCTTCGCTTTAGCTTTTATCCATTCAACTTTTTTTTAAAACTAACACTCAACATGAATACTGTCTTCTTGTCAGCGAACTCCCCCCTGCTGTCAACGTTTATCCACCTCTTTAGTTTGATTAGATCACGTCTGATTGGTGAAACAAACCCGGTCCCCTATGTAAAGTGCGTTACCAATGCGACTTAAGACCACCCAGAGTAAGTGTCATACTGCATTTAAAACGAAAACAAGAGTATTCGGGGGGAAATGTATATATATATATATATATATATATAGCTTAAAAAGTGACAGTTAAGTGCATTACTACGCGACACAAGACAACTATAATCCAGTATCGCACTGATATTTAAATAACAAAATACATTAAACAAAAAAACCCTTTAGATTAGAGAAACTATTTCAGTCGTCAAATGACACATGGAGCTGTTTACAGCTACATCTTCAGACTGGTACATTGTCATAATATGAATGAAAACTTCATACACTACTCAATCGTTTGCTTTTCTGAATTAATGTTAAACAAGAACACCACTATGAAAACCAGAAGGAGAATCTGTTTACTCAACAGCATTTAACCAGAAGTTAATGCTGCCGACTCATAACAAAGAAAGAAGGTGCGTGGAAATCGTTTCCTCTGACTTTGATTATCACGGACGAAATTTTCTTTCGGTTGATAAATCCTGCACCTGTCTTTGTTTAAGGGTAAGTCCAACGTTTTTTTTTTAATTTTTTAAACAAGGGAACACCGACAGGTAAATAATATCTTTATTCTAACTAGAAATCAATGAAAATGCAAATATGTACAAATTAATTTTGGACATATAGTAAGGCCAACCGAAGAAAATACAAGGATTACTATTAATCTGATGATTTACACTTTCTCCAAGTACATCAAAGTCAATTAAAGTACTTCAAAGATGATATAGTTTCAAATAGTCAATATCATGTATCATTGTTAACACGTAGGTTTATAAATTCATTAGAAGTATATTCGTTTTTTATGAGACATTTTAAATTGTACAAGTTTAATACAAAAAGAATTTTTTTTAAATAATTAATTGATACTCCTTTTATTGAAGAAAATCATAAGACATGTTGAATGAACATGTAAATGTGTTAGCAAAGAAGAAAGATGGATAGCGTAGATTTAAAGTTGTAGTTTGACCGCTATCCGTACCGGCGTAAAATTCGCATTACCGCCTCTACTGTGCCAAATACGGTAAAACTTAAACCCAATAAAAACAATGTTATATAAAATATAATTAAAATTTTATGTTTCACGCGTTTCCATGTTGATTGTTCAACCTTCTCGTCTGGAATCCACAAAATAAATGTCATCATGAGTGGGGGGAACACGAACGACAACGAGCTGCCACACATAGCGCCTACGAGTGGTTGTAACAGGTCCATGTTTGGAACTGCCATCGCAAACAAGGCTGAAACACAGAAAACCTTTCCTGAATCAACAGTTATGTCATTTATGTCATTTTTATTTTATTGATTCAAAACGTAAATTAATAGTATATTTTATATACGTTTAATTGTATGTAATAGTCTAATGATTCTTGACTTTAATTTACTGATAAAACAGCCTTGTGTGGCAATCATGTTGATGTCGTTGTTTCATTCAAACATAAAATGCGATGTCTTTGAAGTTTTGATAAGTTTTTTCCTGACAAATTAACATCACATATCTATATCCGTTACGTGTAAAGGCTATAGGACTTGGTTCTGTCTTAAATTAACGTTTGTCGAGGGAAAACATTTGCAAGAACATCTGTCGCTTTAATATCATGTACTTTCAGTCATAGCATTTACCTATTTAAAGATATCAATCCAGCATTAATGTGTAACATTGTTTAGTTACCTTAAGTTCGGTTTTGAAATATTTCTAATAAGACTTTTGGTTTATAGATATACATTACATATTCCTCTTGAAATCATTCAGAACAATAGGGAGAGAATATAATGCCTTTATCTTTGAAATCGGCCTATAAATTGAACGGAAAGGAAGGATAAAGAAAGGAATCAGCATTACTCCTACTTACTCATAAAAAGCATAATGAGTAGTCTGACAACATATTCTCCATATCTGATCAACGTTCCTGATGTAACCCTCCTTTCAATACCTTGCCAGATTACTTTGGATGGAACAAATAATGTGAATCCAACTGCGGTATAAAGGCCTAATATATTGAGCACCTTGATACCCTGATACCACCTGAAAGGAAACAAATAATACAGTGACATTAACGTGACATGAAAAGAAATTATCTATAGATTATTTCCACACTGAATAGTAGCAAATATACTTTCTTTAAATATCTTCATTGATTCAAAACTATCAATTAACAACGCAAAATGGCTTCAACGAGCAAAGCTAGATTCGTGCAATATCTTTTCTTTGATTTTATAAATCATCAACTACTGATACTTTTTTTCAAACTTTTACGTAACGAAACAAAATTGATATAACTAAATACATATGTAGCACATACACTTCATCTGTTGGGAGATTCAAGATCAGGGAGGGTTTCGTCTTTTCGCCAAACTTGAGGAAACCGAAGAAACCACAGGCTGTATATACGCTGACCGTTATCGACATTCCAAGCGCCGCAAGACCATTCCATCTACCATAACTATGTTTTTCAGCCATCCTGTTCTCGATAGACAGGACCTGTTAAAATATCACATTTTGGTTTAATGGCTTGATATTTGGCTCGGTATTTGAGTTGATTAAAAATGATTGCAATATTTCAAATGTCTAAATGATACATGCTTACCGGAATTTTCTGAAATTGCTTACTTGGAATTTAAGATGCAAGAACTTGTTTGACAGACTAACGATCTACCAAACGAGCTTTCAAAAAAAAAAAAAAAACAAACAAAGGAAAACAAAAAGAAAAACAAATAAACAAAGAAAAAGCAAAACACAAATCACATTTCTAAATAGGTAGGTAACGGTTCGTTTAGCATAAAGTTGATAGACAATCTGAGTCTGTTTTTCATTGTATATCTCAAATGATGACTAAGACTGCAAGCCCCTGCTGTTTCCTCCAGGAAAGATATACCTGAGATACAAAGATAACAAAAATGTAATTGGTATGTCGAGGCTATGATCCTAACTTCAAGTACTGTTATACTTACAGTGCCAATTCCTTCGTAAGAAAACATGATATTCGAAATGGCTATAAGTACTAAGTCACGTTGTTCGTGAATTCCTGAGAACGATGGTACAGAGTCAATGCTCGGTAAGTCCCTGCAGATGTACTGTATCACGGTGACGAGGCTGATCATGTTGAAAATGTTTCCAAGTGTTGAAAATGGAGCAAGGAGTGTCAAAGTCGTTGTCATGCCTATCGGCAGTAACAACACACCGAAAAATACCACATATGGACGCAGGAACAAATGGTCACCTATGTACACTGGCACAAGCTGAAAAGAATGTAGAAACAGACCATGCATCATCATCATCATCATCATCATCATCACAACAAGTTACCATAAATGATGACATGGAATCATGTTGTTTCAGTAAGTGAACAATATCCTACTGTAGGTTTCCACACATGACTCGCCGATCAATATGTCTTCCATCTTAAAGGTATGCGATACATTTGATAAACATCATATTTTAGATATTAGATATTTTAGATATTTTTTAATGATATGTTCATAAGCGTATACTTACTTGTTGTAAATATGCAGCTGCCATCGATATGTAGACTATACAATACCCTACGTTAGCTATAGTCAAAATTACAGCAACCGCTGTCCTGCAAAATGACGAAAACAAGTTCCATTCTTCTTCATTGAAACGTTAATATGCGGTACCTACGTACAGAAAAGTTTTGAAATATTATGTCCATTTCAATTATTTCTATCTATTCAAATTTTTTTTTTTTTTAATCAATATGAAGAACTCCTGTCGGGATATTCGACAATATCAAAACATTTTGCGGTTATCATGAAAAGAAACTTTCCCAATACCTAATCCAGGAATTAATGCTGATAAACTGTTGATGATGGATGTTCTGTTATAAATACTTCGAGATTCTTACACGGATTTCAATCCACATGAAAGTTATGAAACGATTCTTTGAACTTTTCGTTTGTTTGTTTGTTTGTTTGTTTGTTTTTGTTAGTGTTTGCCAAGACAAATGTCACAATCTCATAGGAGATTGGAACGACAGTCACTTTATTTGGTGACTTTATAATACATATAATGCCATGAAGCAATGATGTCACTATGAAAGCAACTGAAACCTCAGTTAATTACAGTTCTGTGTATATCGTGTTGTAAATGTTATCTGAACTAATTCTATGTTGTGGGTGTTATAACACTGATATCGGTGTAGTTATGTGATCATTAAAACATTTACTCGACAATAAAAATCAGATAAGGAATAAATCAGATATTATCTATAAAAGCTTATGTAATAGTGTTGTAGTTAGTTAGGTAATGGGATACTGTTATTGGGAACGCAATGCGAGTTGATATGGCAGTCGCTATAAAATTGTGTGTTGTGTTAAGTGACATAAATAGGAACAACGTGTTATACAATCATTTCCTTGTCGCCAAGACACGATATCCTAAACAATTGATACTTACTTTGCTTCTTGAGAATAGTTTCGTGAGAAGTCCGGACCAATTGACATTGCGTAGCCAAACACATCAACATAGTCAAGTGCTGAAACTTTTAGTCTAGAGAAAGGCAAGTCGGTAAAAATTTTAAAATGCTCAAATAGAACAGTATATAAGCTGAGATAAGAAAGAGAAAATGTGACATACTACATGTATATTGATCAGAATTGACATTGTCAATGAAAAATTAATCACAAATTATACTTATGTAATATATAATACATCTTATATCTCAATTCATTAAATAACTATTGGCCTGGTTTGTCAATTGGATTGAATATTTTTATGAAGCAAACTTCGAGAAAAAATAGATTGAGATGTACTGATATATCGATATTACCAAAAGCACACCGTTATTACATAGAGCATCTCTCGTGAATTTTAGATATAATTTTGTGCTGTTCTTTTTGGCGTTGCTTGGCGAACAAAATGAAAACTTTAAATGAGAAATTCGTTTTACTAAATGGTTTATCAACCATTGTTTATTAATCATGTTACTACCAGGATCTATGCTTATGTTTTTTCTTTCTTATCACCGTTATTACGTAAGATATAATATCATTATGTCGGTTTCGTTGAGGCCGATATCTTGGAATAATATTGTTCTGTGTGCTGTTCATGTGAGTGTACATGATAAATCTAAAAGTTTCATAACTTAATCTTTTAAACTATTTTACATCGTTGAAGCAGCTATTTGTTATTTTTTTTAGAAAAAGGAAATATGTCTGTTGAATGGACGTAAATACATTTCATATAAACTCAAAGCAATCAGCCCGAGTATTGGATAAGATGAAAGCTAAAGATTACGGTAGACATATAATAAAATGAAGCCACTTTTTATGAATCGTATTTCGTAAAAGTTACGTCCAATCAAAGAGGAAATATATACAGGGCGAAACCATAAACAATGATCGTGTTTTTTGGAGTTTTGTTTGACAACGTCTTCGTCTAGTTTGGTGGTAAGATCTTAAACAAACTACTGGCATACGTATGGAAACCAACTGCGCCCCTCTGTTGGTTGACTTTTGTTTTCATACGAGGCTAAATATATTAAAGAACTTATCAAAACAGGTCACAAAGGCCTTGCAAAGTCGTTAAATTTCACCTTCAGATATATTGCTGACGTCTTGCCTTTAAATAACAAAAACATTATTCACTACTTCCTTCGTATATATACACCAGAACTGGAAATCAAAGATACGACAGACTCTTCTATTATAGTTGCTTATCTCGATCTTTTCCTATAACGAAACAAATGTGAACAACTTTCCATCAAGTTGTATGATTAACGTGATGATAACAATTTTCTTATTGTGAGTTTTCTATTACTGGATAGCAATATCCCTGTATCTCCAGCCTATGGTATTTACATGTCACAGTTGATTTGATATTCAAAGACTTGTTCCCAATATCATGATTTTCGTCAGTTGACTGACAAACTCGTAACACAAGAATTCGAAAGATGCAGGTTGATGAAAATTATGGGAAGTTTTATGGTCATCATATTGATCACATTGAGAAATATCATATTTCTTTGTGCGACATGGAGCTAGGCGTACTTGTTACTCGATAGTTTGGCTGTTAGTTCCGTTGTTTTATACCTTGTTCTCATTTGAGAACGTAACATTATTTCCTTGGATTGACCATGGTTTACATGGCAGGTGTCCTTGATGAAGCAGAAGACGCTTATTCTTCCGGAACATCTGGGGTTATTCTTATACTTTTTCAGGAGTCTCCGAGTAATTCTTTCTTTTGTTCATATTTTGCCTTGGTTTTATGGAATTTGAGATTAAATTTATTTTTAAGCACATGGTCTGATTGTCCTTGTTCTTTTTTGGAGTCATCCTGTAAATTTATTTTTGTTCGTATTTTGCCCTAGTTGAATTTGAGTTTGTATTATGATTATGTTGACTTTCTTCTTGTTATTGTATCACTTAACCGGCACTTAAACATAAATCAGTTTTTCAACGAGCAGATTCATGATTTAAGTATCAAAGCAACATTTATAACATTCAGTTACAAATATAACGCAGTTTTACGATTTGTAATATTTGTAAGGTTACTAGAGATTAAGGTCTGTACCGTTTACACATCAGCTGAGAGCAGTGTATCAGCGTCAGTATGTTGAATGTGGCAAGCCATCCCATCGCTAGCAAACAAATGGTGCCCGTCTATACAAACAGAAATTCAGAAAGCTGCATTTTGTCATGAAAATGACAATATGCTTATGATTGCGAAAACAAACGGTCTCAAAACAGTCTAGGGTGTTTTCCCTTTCGTTTTGAAATATTCCAGAAAGACAGAATTCTACAATGACATGTTTTTACTATTTTTTAAGAACAAAAGGTACGGTTAAAAAAAAACTATAAAGAGAAATGATTGTTCCAAGATAAGAAACTTCAAAATCGTCCTCAAAATAAAACAATATATGATTACAACAGTTCTCCTTTTTTCTGTGATAAGCAATATTAATATATATCACACTTCCATAATAAACACCTGATCTTTGTATACTTCATATACTATCATAAGCGATAGGGAATACATTTTATTGCACCTATAAAGGAAATCAAGGAAATGTTAATATTTTATACCTAAATCTAAGAATATACCTATATCAAATAAAACACTGTTGATTTTTGTACAGATACATTTACATATAGGTCTCATTGTACGCCGAAATATGACAACATCGACTGACGGAAGCGTTCACCTCCGAATGAAAAGCAATGTACTTCACTGCCAGGTCTGTAATATGTCTTACACATAGGACTACCTATCAGTCAACGCAAAGAAGTCTATTGTACTGGGATTTTGAGGGAACTGTCAAAACTATATTTCTCTCTCAACTGCTGATGAGAAATCAAGCTTTCAACACAAGCTCAAATAAGGTATTTTTATGGCTGTGGACTTCAAATTGATTATGAACGTTTTATGAAAACTATATCTTCCAGTAAAGTGTAGGACAGTAGGATCATCACAATTTTATTACCAGTGATTCAGTCAAAGGCTACAATAAGTTTAGGCCACTGCCGCTTGGGTCAAAGGTCAAAAATTAAAATCTACTACCGTGCACCATTAGATAATTATTCACACATGCAGCCTGAATATTGATCCAAGAGAGAGCTTTTGATTTCATTTAAAATCGTATGCAAGTAAAAGATTTTAATCAAAATGTAAAACATACCCAGATACCAACGAGTTTTAACGTGTATGGCATTGTCAGCATTCCGGCACCGAGGAAGCCTCGAATGAAATGCATAAAAGCCACGAAGTTTCTGAAAAATATCATAACATTTACTCTGACATTGTAAATGCTGGTATTTATGTTTTTGTTGTGACGTTATTGTAAGTAAGTATGCCTTTGTATTTTGCTGAATGAAATAATTTTGAACAATTTATACTGAGAAAATTGTACCTACAAACAGCAGAACAACAATTACAGATAAATTTTAAGATGATTAATCATTGGCGAATGGAAATGTCGCAGTCTGTTTTTAAACGTCACATAAAAGAGTTGGATCTCTGACGACCTTTAATAGTCGACGTAGAATTGTATCACATCCTATTGGAAGGAACTTTGTGAGAGAAAATGGAAGATAATGTTGGCGTGTCTTTTTTATTTTGCACAATCAAATTTTATTAATGCATTGCTGATTTTTACAAAGCGTAATAATGAATTTAAACATCCACAATAACTGCTATATCAAGACATACAATAACTGCTAGTAGCGAAATCATATTTTAGTTCAACACTTCGAGTGGTAAAACCACTATTATTGCTACTAAAATACACACAGAACGTGTACTGTATTTTCACTAATATTTAAACGAATAATTCATAAATATTTCTAAATTTACAAGCTGCTAGATATTATGATAAAATGGTTTAATGGCCTATGTTTTTCGATGATGTATGCGATACAGATCATATAGTCATCAATCGAAAGCATTTTATAAATATTCATGTTACAATACTCACGATATCTTATCTTTTTCGTATATTTCTGTCAGCGATAAGTGGCCATTCTTATCTTCAGATTCCGCATTACACAGTACAGATTTGTCGTCCGTCTGTACAAGCGATGCTACCCCGTTTATATGAGGTTTTGATGACTCTAGTTTGGCACCATATTCTTTCTTATCAGACACTAACGTCTGTAGTTCCATAATGAGAGGAGAATCTCTTCAACGGCGCTTTGTCTCCACTCTCGCCTACGCCATCTGCAACAAGAGCATATATTTTCATATATCATAATGTCAATTATATTGACAAAAACGAACAATACATATACACTGTAAACAAAATAATAAATGATATCTTTACCCAATTGTCAAAAATTGTTTGGTATCCCTTTAAGGGAAACGTTATAAGGATTCTGGTGTATAGTTTTGTATTTTGGAAAAGTATGTTTATTTTGCTACACGTTGATTTAAATATAAGTTTCCCTATACACCTACAACCTACATCTGCTGTCCTTGATGCACAAGCTGTCTTAACGCATATCACAGTCACAATGGGTATTACCTTACCAGCAATTAAAAACCCTTTGATGGTATGGCATTAATAGTTTAAAATTGATCGAATACTTTAGATTATTCAGGTGGTGGTAAATGAAGGTAAATAAGGACTTTATGCAGACAACCTGTGAAAATATTTGATTACCACAACAGCAAAAAAAATCGATGAGGTATTATGTAAGAAAAACACCACAAAAATTCGAAGTTAGCGGGGGGATATCATGTTTTGCACAAGAGGCGATATATATGTTAGACAGTGAATGAGGCTTGTGAGAACACTGCGAGTCTGTATAAAGGAATCAGACCATGTTGACGACCTTGTAATACAATGTCTGTCACTTCGTCTTGTCGAACGTGATAAAAGTGTTACAAAGTTGCATCTAATTAAAACATTCTCTCTTAAACGCCAGGACGAGTAAATAACACAAAAATGCTCTTCCCATGAAAAGTGATTGCATCACTACGGAAATATAAAGACAAAAACGATATAAGAAAGAAGTATTTTTGTGGTTATCTGGATGGAATTAACAAGTAGTGGCGTTATAACTCGTGCTCGACAGTCGATATGGACATCCAAACAGACATGATATATACATATCGCATTAGATTTTTCTCTACAATGCATCCCTATTACGACACTACAATGTATGATATAAAACCCATCATGATAAACACAACATACTTATTTTAGAAATCTTCTGAATGCTTCATGACTGTCCTTTATATCAGCCGTCTAGCCTGACACCTGGAAAGGATAATACAGGGCACCACACAACATATTTCCGAGTACAAAAGCTGACGTATAAAGTAACAGAAATATGTAAAACCCCAAGTAACCTTCCCGGTCCTCTAGAGCGTAAAGATAAAGTGATGACATTTTCACCGGGCGTACAATACACCCAGTGTTCAAGATTTAAAGAGGTAATTTTTTAACTCCATTCAAAAGAAAACGCGTCCGACTTTTTATTGTCTGGGTGTATCTATGATCACAATGTGTTTCATCTAGTATATTACTTTACATATCTACGTCGCAGCCGTCGGTATATTCATAACGAAATAACTAAACCTGGGTTATTTTGATTGCTTTCTTTAAACAATATTTATAAGATAAATATTCAAGATGAGAAATATACCTCCATAGACTAAATAAAAAAATATGACATGGTGTGCGTTTTCTAATCTAATCTCCTTTCCTCGGTCTTTACTTTAAATCGACCGATAACGACACTTTTGAAAGTGTCATGATGTTATTTACTCCAGCGTTGGGTTTTGATTTCTCGATAGAAACCACGCTGCTGCTGTCAAACGAAGATGATAACAAAATGTTTCGACTAAAAACAAAATTTAAAAAAAAAAGATATTTCGACATTCCATTGTTTGTTTATGATATAACAATTCCTGTGATCGACATCAACTGACGACACAATTACGAGACATATTTGTGAAGAACAAGATGTATTTGTCTGGTCATTAGTGTGATATACCAGGAGTTAATTCAGGGGTGCGATATGGAATATGGCGTGCTACCTGTTCGTAAGTTAGGTTTTTCTTTGTTTCATCATTGTTCGTTTAATCATAGTTTGACGTCTTGTAATCAATTAGTTGAAATTAAATCATTACCGTTAATAATTTGAAATACTTACTTACATGTGACTGTGAAATATCTATATCAATATATATAGAAATGGAGGTTTTCTTCATTCGTGCTAGCTCTAAATAATTTGCTTAAATATAAGTCCGTCCTAACAGACTCTTCATATACTTAGAGGTAGAAATGTATGCAATGCTTTATACCACATGTATCTGCCTTGATATCTGATCGCTGTAATTCCATGTTAAATTATACACTTGTCGTTATCTTTTCATCTTTGCAAGTTTATGTAGTTATCTTAAGCTAAAAACACGTCTGTCTTCTTTCTCACTAATAGAACATTATAGTAGAAATGAAACTTACCCCCGTCCACTTAAGTCGCCTTTCGCTTATACGGTATAAATTATCTACTGGTACACAACATCGGTCGAGCGAAGGACTGGAATATGTTAAACAGACGACATTATACGTATCTTGTTCATTGGAGCGTGAAGATGAAGAGACGACAACGATAATCTATCTGCAATGTACTTGGTGCACTAAAGTAAAATAGCATAAAGCCTCGTTTTAAACACAATAGCTATAAAATATTTTGTTTGGTTAGCAAAATCTTTACTGCGTTTGTATAATGCTGTATACACATTTGATTAAGTTCAATCTCACGAGCTTAATTTTTTAATATTCACGTTTGATATCTTCTGTGTATAGATATACGGCTGATGTAGACATATGATATATACACCACATGCATTTGTATTTATCTAACACCACAATGCATGAATGTTTTGCGCGAACGGATAAAGTTTACTATCTTTGACGATGTTAAATATTCTTACCTAACTAGAACACATTTTGGATTAATCTTTGTTAATTATAGCATTCCACTAGTGTCCTTGTAAAACTTATTTGTTGATATTCATCCAGTCGAATTAATGTTGCTTACACGTCGGAAATTACCATCATGTTGTGACAATGGCTGCATGCTTGTTAATTCCATAAAATATTACCGAAACATTGAGATTGACTTAATAAAAA